TAAATCTAATTGTCTCTCAAAGAAAGACTAAAAGAAGTCAACAACTCGCTACAGCAAAATGAATAGACTTTGAAGCAAAATCACCATGAAATACTGACATAAACCCTGTAACACCTCCCTTGCTTGTAGATTCTAAAACAGAACTTGCTTATAAAACATGCAAAAGATGAGCCATGAGAGAATCCGACGTTAGAAGACTATGGATACCAAATTGAGACATTCATTGCTGCATAAGACTCTTAACTTGAGTGGTGACCATATTGAATATTGTAGACATGAAACTGGTTTAAAATATAAAAAAATTAAACTTCTTAATAAAGGCTTAACTTTTTAAAATGATGTATTCAAGAAATACTTGATGTAATGATTGTCCCAGCCCCATTATTTGAAAATCATTTGCAGTGGCACCCCATCTTGACTTTATTGATGTTTTTGGCCATTACTTACTAGCAAAAGGAGACTGGAATTCAATCAAATTAATTAAATGTATAACTTTTTAGAATTAATATTTGATTTCGATTATTTTTACTTTTTTATTTACATGAATGGCTTATGGTAAGAATTCACAGTTAATAGTAGTATGGTTGCCATCTTGGATATCCTGTCATATTTGAAACATTTGAAATATTTTAAATAGAGAAAGCTTCGAAATCATACCAAAATAGGAAAAAGGAGTCTGCAATATATAGTTTTATCAAAAAACATGTACATTATGCCTTTTATATTCATTTTCAATGCAGTTTGATTTTTTTCATTACGTACAGAGAATTTATGGGCAAAAAATCAGAAGGGAACATTTGTTCAATTCTGTAGCCTTCCAAAAATTTGAACTGTATTAAACAATACTGTAGATGAATTATTGCATGAAAAAGACATTCAATTTGAAATCTAGAAAGACATAAAGCTTTCGTTCATAATCAACTCACTATAATCAACTCTTTTTCATTGGTAGTTGTCATTGATTTATGGCAATCAAGTAAAATATGATGAATTTAAGGAAATATGAATGGTCAAAGTAGCAAGAAAGGCCTAGACATTAAAGATATACGTCACAGTGGTTTTAAAATAATGTTTCTTTAATTTCTCTCTCTATATATATTATAAGTAATGAATCAGATAAATAAGCATATTTAATGTACGTAATAGCAGCCATCTTGAATATTAATTGCAATGTAAAAATCTGAGAAAGTTTCTTTGAAATAATTTAAAGAAAAAGTTATTTAGGATAAAAAGTAATTTAAAAATGAGTTCAAAAAAGTACAGAAATATTGTGTACGCAGTTTAGTAAGGTTCTCAAACGTGGTATTGTCCACACAGGTAGTTGCAGTTCATTTTCAACAATGGCCAACTTGGAATCATGACAAATGAAGCAAAAATAATCACTTTTTGACAGAATGAAGTGTCCAAGAAGGAAAATGAGATTGCAATACAGATAAATTTATCAAAAAATAAATATCTTTAATTTGCTAATTATTCAATTTGATGTTTTTCAACATGCAAATCAAAATAATGTATGTTTTGGATCCAGAAATTGGCGGCCATTTTGGATTTTTATACCCTGAACAAAATCTCAAAACAATTTAAATTATTCAGTCATACATTTCATACCATGACCTGTGCAATAAATCCTCCATTAAGTAGTCTGAGATGTTTTATACTAAGAAAGGCTTGTTGACATATCAAAACAAAAAGCCCATTTTATGTGGTGGCCATCTTGGATTAGAGCCATCTGTGTTCAAATGTACAATTTTGTGATAAATTAACTGGTAAAAATTAAAAATATAGACTTCAACTTATTCAAATACATCAAAACATGTGAAATATGCCTAATTTTTGGTTGATAAAAAAAAATTTCAAATTTAGGTATTTGTATTTTTTCACAAAAAGTAAGGAAAATGGCCGCCATCTTGGATTCAGTCGCCATCTTGAAAAATGTAAAGTGCCTGAAAAATCAAAGAAGGCCAAAGTACTTGTGATCAGTGCAAATTTCGATAATATTAAGTTGTTAAGTAACTTTTAAATCAATTTTTGTATTTACAGTTGACACATGAATTTACTGGCGGCCATCTTGGATTTGGCCTGTTTCCGGTACAAACGGACACTTTTTCAAGCCGGAAACAAGCAGAAATGAAAAATTCAGGTTCTAAACTACAAGAATCAATCATAAAACCTTTGCCTGACGGGGGGGTGCAGCCAAATTGGATTTTTTGGCCCTTGGCTCATGGACTATATATTTCCACTATATTCTCATAAAGTATACTAGGGGAAAGATGTTGAAATAATGACCAAATATCAAATAAATAGCTTTTCCATAGGGGAGTTATTGGGTGGTAAAATACACATTTTTTATTTTCTTATTTTCTCATTAAAATTTTCACCTGCAAACTAACAAAAAATGCCAATGTATCCTCCATTATGCATACTACAATATGAAAGTCAAATACTCAAATAAAATTAGATTTATAATTTTGTGGGGGGTGGGGGTCAAAATTCCATGGGGGGACTCACATTTTCATCATGAAAATTTGACTGGGGAGTCACATTTTATAATGAAAATCTGACTGGGGAGTCACATTTTTGGGGAGTCAGATTTTCATGGAACACCGGCAATCTTGAGTATCCGTCAGTCAAAAGAACTGCTGCACAGTGAATCTGCAGTTGAATGTCATAAGTCCAAATTGAAACGTAAAACATATTTAATTTGGCTTTATTTAATTGTATTTACTGTATTTAAAATGTGATTTGAAAAACTAATAATATCTTTTTAAAGGAAAGGAATATACTAGATGTTTTTTTTTTTTTTTTTGTACTTTTTGCACATCAAAAACATTTGCTCCTGATGATATAAACACCATACACGTGTTTGCCGTGTGCAAAGTTTGGCAGCTACACCGTTTGTCTGATACCACTATGAAGACTGCGCAATGGTTCTACACCAAAAATCAGTTTTTAAAGCAGAAAGATGCTTATGTTCTGGCACTGATTTTCGATTGCCAGTTATTCGTAGTTCAGACTTCAAACTCCGCGTCAGCCACTTTGCTTCTTTGTCTCGTCTGCACGGGATGACGTCAGCCCAAAGCGGGAGAGGCAGCTCCAGGCGGGACAGATCTGGGACGTACGAGACATGTGACTTTCAAATATGGAAGCGCCTCAGGCAAAATTTTGCCGACCACACCCCAGTATGTCTCGAGTGGCTAGAGTCAGGTTATATATGAAATCAAGATCGAGGTGGCAATACTAAAATCTAGTACCTAGGGTAATCTTGTCACATTACCAGACCAAATGTCACCATAAAGTCTCTAACAGTTTGACTTAAGTAAAAACCAAAAGACATAATTTTACATATCCTGAAATGTGATATTTGAAAGTACTTATTTTTATTTATCGGTAACTATTTTGAATACTGTGTTATTAAGCGCGTAAATTGCGTCATGCAAAAATACGTCATTTGAAGGACTTTACGAACTGAGTGGATGGATAACTTGGTCTGTAAATTATGTTGTTGATTGTCAAGAATGAACTGTCATTATTGAGAGTAAAATCACTGTCTCACTCTCTTTCATTCTCTCTCTCTCTCTCTCTCTCTCTCTCTCTCTCATGCCAAACATCTATTTACACAAAAAGAAAGATAAAAGTACGTACTTGGTAAATATTAATATAGGATAACATAATCAGTGCTGTTGCATGCTGTACGATGCACGAAGACTGAAACATTCACAGAATGATGTGTCTTATAAAACTACGTCATTTGGAGGATTTAACAAACTGATATTTGTTTTCCTCATGGGCCCTCAACTCACTTAAAAACTGTTTTATTACGCGCTTAAATTGTGTCATACAAAACTACGCCATTCGGAGGGTTTTATAAACTGGTCGGATGGATAACTTGGTCTGAAATTAATGCTGTTGATTATCCACAATGAACTTCATAATATAGATTCAAATCACTATACTCTCTCTCTCTCTCTCTCTCTCTCTCTCTCACTCTCTCGCTGATTCCGTAATCAAATTAACACTCAAAGTGAGTTAAGTGCATACTCGGCAAATATTAATATGATAATATTATCAGTGCTGTTGCATTTTGTACCATACACGATAACTGAAATGTTGATACAAGGCTGTGTTCCCTGATCATTAAATCCAATAAACACTCAAAAAGTTAAGTGCGTACTTGGTAAATATTAAAAGCTAACATACTGGGTAATCAGTGTCGTTATCTTTTGTACCAGGCACGAAAACTGATACATTAAAACAATGATGTGTTGGCTCCCTCCCAGCGACCTAAGTCCCACAATACAGCCAAGAGAGCTGTCTTTGTCAATTGTCACTATGAATGATTATTTTGATAACTGGAACGTAATATCATTGTTTTTTTTTTAGCTTTGACTCAATTTTCGCTTAAGATGGCCAATGACGGAAATAGATACATATTGAAATAATATTACAAATTGTTATTTGTAAAATCACTGATTAATTGTCTATTTTGACTCAAACAAGCAGAGTTGTAGATTGCATATGAACTCACATCTTGTCACATTACCTGACCAATTAACACACACATAAAGATATAAGTGCGTACTCGGTTATTAATTAAAATGATCATTTTATCAGTGACATTGCATTTTGTACCAGGCAACATGACAGAAACGTTAATACAATGATGCCAAACATAATAATGGTATAATAGTTCCCTACGTTTAATTAATGATAATGTTTTTCGAGATTTTCTTATATTAAGTGAGAAGTCACATGTAGGTCCCCTGTTAGACTTCATGTTTGCCAATCTCATATTATCATTATTAGTACTCAGAATGATTTGCTCACTTCTTACTAAAAACAAAAAAAATCTCATGAACTCAGACTCAGAATTAAAGGTAAAAATAAAGTCTTGAGACGCTACAGAATACGCATTGTGCAGAAACAAATACTTAACACCAGTCGGCATAAAACAATTTAAGCAACAAGTGATCCACAATATAAATACATTTATTCAGCGTTTCATGATAGATATAACCACCATTTAGTTTACTTAATATACAGCTAATTAATTCACAATGTCAGCAGTCACCTCTACTGCGCAGTATTCATCACCTGGTTTTAATGTTGATTTAGTCTTTATTGAAATTTATTCATATATATGATGATAAAACATTTACTATTTGGTACATGTATATATCTAACATACACTTATTTCATAACTACGTCTATTTTATATAGTAATACACATGGGAGGAAAATTCCAAACTTCACTATAAAACGTTCTAAAGGGTAATTTATCTAAACATTCAACTTTGGGCCTAAATGTATGCGGTTTTGGCATCGTTCTTCACAGTATATTAAAAGAAAACAAAGATGATCATGTCCCAATGCCCATGTGCTATTTTTTCTGATCCTTAAAGACGCTGATAATTAAATAATCACTTAACGGCGTCACAAAACGCAGGACATCGCGTTGAAGCCAAGTGGCTGCTACGTGACCACGTCAGTTTATTAAAGGGAACTATTTTGAAGGTATCCTGTATTCTAGAGTGGGAATGGGAGTAAATATTTTATTTTGAATGAAACAGTTCAGTTGCTTTGGATTAGTGCATGATTAACTATTGGTAACGTCAAAAGCGACGTGAACAACAACGATAAGAAAAACACCAACGGCAAGAGCAGTGAGAGCAATGCACACAGGTTTTCTTCCACAGCAAATCACGTAGAATAGAAACATCATACAATGACACCAGTATTCGGTTAGACACATTCTACAACGGCGCAAACAACGGCAACATTTCACCTGAAATAGAAATATGTAGAATAAGAATAAAATAAGCAAAAGAATAGATTAATCTTTAAGTATGTATGTGTGGAATGTATATATAAATAAATTTATAATGACAGAAAAGACTTTCATCAGCTGTGTTAAGTTATAAGAAAGATGTGATTTTTTCTTCAGTCAACAGCTAATATTGAGATAGGTTTTACCGCCAATATTTCGATGTCTATTAGGACATCTTCTTCAGGGAATGAGGCTATCAGGGTGAATAGCCTTTACTCAGGAGTCTTAGGAATTCCCTGAAGAAGATGTACTGATAGACATCGAAATATTGGAGGTAAGAAATATCTCAATATTAGCCGTTGTCTGAAGAAAAAATCACATCATTCTTATAATGACAGAAAGCGTAGAAGCCGGTCTTGAAGACATTAAGATTGTTAAGAAACACGTTTTCCCGGAAATTTCACCGATGTTAAGAAATACCTGAGTTTGTTGAGAAAAAAAAGACGGAAAAGGTTTTGAAAAAAATAGCAAATAAAATGTTCAGTTCTGTAATGTGAATCTCTTTTCGGAAAATATAGAACACGGCAGCATACACGTCATTCAATGGACACTTTTTCTCAAAACCATGAACTGAATATATAACAAGACATGTTCAATATATTTTTTATTTTATTCTGGCTCTTATGACCAAAACTGTGTTGAGATAATAATATATGTAATTTTCATTTTTATGCACGCTCACCCTAGCGCATCCACAAATACACTCGCACAATTATATATACTGACAAATTACATAATTTAAAAAGGAAAAGTTTAATATTTAGCGAATGAAAAAAATACCTTTACCCTTTCAGCACCGGGAACTTCATAGTGCACATTTGCAACGGATTGTATAAGCTCCATTAACTCGTCTTGTTTCTGTTCTCGGTCTTCCCAGTCACTGTTTTCTACACACCATATTCGTTTGCCGCATTGTTTGAAAAGGATCTGGAATGGCTCAGGCGAATTGGCAATACATTTTTCGATCGAAGTGTTTTCCTGTTTTATGACATCAGCAAATGTAAGCACAATGATACTTTTCTGAAGGAAATCGTCTCCGAAAATTTTGCGAAATTGGTTTACAGCTTCCATTTGAGTGCATTTAATTCGGCCCATTTTAAACACAATCAATATCGCGTCCACTTGCTCCATACACCTAGCTTCCTTGGATATTCTGTCCAAAATCTGGTAGTCAGATGTGGTCAGCGAGCCTAAACCAGGTGTGTCAACAATTTGGACAGTGCACGAGCCCGAAAGCCCGAATTTCTTGCTTGTAATTTTATCGTCTTTTCCTTTATACTTATTGTCCCCGGAAAGTTTCTGTACAATTTCAGATTTGCCTTGCCCTTTATAGCCAACGACAATGACGTAATAGGTTTTGGAGGACATACTGAAGAAAATAATTTCAATATGAATTATTTGAAAAATTGTAATTGAAAAAGTAGCGGCTGCAAGAAAAAGAACACCTAATTCTGTTTGAAACGGGAGAAATTATTTTATTAGTAAAATGGTTGTAAACTCACAAAAAGTGGGAAGATGATTTGATTTAAGAAGGATGACTGAAGAATAAAAAAGACAAGAATGAGAAATAACAAATGCATATAAAAAGAAATAGTTTGTTCGGTTTCAAAAATTACATTATTTTGTCTTCTGTGTGGCTTTTACCAGATAATAATAATGATGAAGATGATAATAGTATTATTTTTGTAATTATTACTTTTATGATGATAATGGTGATGACGACGATGATGATGATGGCAAAGGTACATGTAGCTGTGTGTACAATATAAAATGATAACAGTCCACACCTAAAAGAATCATACACACAACCAAATATTCTACAACATAAGAACCTAAATTGCCGTGACAAAAATGCTTAGAGAATTGCCAAGGCATAAATGCAGTAGTGACTAAAGCAATTTCCAATTATAAACTATCTGTGTGAAATCGAGAAACTCTTTTCAGCTTTTCCCAGTTAAAATGAAACCACTGATGCGTTTATTTAACCCAACCCGCTAAAAGCTTCCCGCCGATTACCGATTAAACACTGAAAAAATTTCCCGCGGGGATAACACAACTAGCATTCAAGTGGGTAGGCCATATTTGATAGGCGATTCTGTTAGTCCACTGATTTGAATGCGCTATAAAACTGACTCTGCGTACGTCTCAGCGTTTTCTGCTTTCGCTTCATCGGCGACTTATTATCACATGTGAATGTATACTTACATAGCTGTTCCTATTTAGGGGAGTACGGGCGAACTAGTGAAGTCATGCAAGTGTTGCTTTGTGCTTTGAAAGAGGAAGGTCAGCGAATGACTATAAATAACAAACTGCGCATGCTCTGAAATTCGAGGGACCTTTGCAAAGATGCATTAATTGACAATTACCAGAGGATATCATTATCATATATGTAGAAAGCTTAGAACTTTTATCTGTTCAGTTTTTCTTATTTCTTTTATTTAATTATGGCATTGTCAGCCCCTTCCTTTGATCTCCATGTCATTACAGTTGTCATGCCCAAGTTGCATCTTATAGGTGATATATTATATGAAACAAGATGACAAAATATAGTTTCAAACTCACCCAAAAACACCTATTTTTACACATTTTCACTTTATTGATGGTATTCTGTTAAGGATTATGCAACGTACGGGATTTACGGCCCATTCGCCACATAACCCTTAACATTAGCAAAACTTAGGCCTTTTTCCCTTTCGTTTTCCGCAGCAAAAAGTTGAAATGCTATGAGATTCTCCCTGAGCTCTTGATCTCCTTATTTGCACATCAGCGGCACGAGGTAACATATATACGCCCATCCACTCGCACAGTGCACACCAACTTATGCTGCCAGGGAGAAAGTCGGCATTACTCACATACTGTGCTCAAGAAATGGACCCTGATAGTCAAAACGAGGTAAAAGTTTGAAATTATGCGGTGAAATAAGTCCATTAAATTCAGCAGGGATAGTTTATCAAATATATACATTGGTTAACTTTGGCGACAGTAAACTTTCAATTTTGAAAAGCAGTTAATACGTCAGGTGGTCAAACAATAAAACTGACAGTTAGTACATCAAATGTATATCTGGGTGAGTAAAAAGATAAATACTTTACATCAACCAGGGGATGATCTTGTGATAAGGGGTGGTTGGGTAAACAACTAAAATGTGAAATTAGTTCATCGCAGGGACACCTATATGAGTGTGTTTATCGCTCCACCTAACCTCTACCTGGAGATACGTATTAACCTAAGGCATGCATACATTTTCTCAAAATCAGGTTGTTCATTCTCAGTACGACATTTATTAGAGGAGGACAGAATTTATCTCTTTAGCTCCTAAACATATTTCTAAGAGCCTGTTTTGTCTCATTTTTTTCGACGCGTTTAGCTCCTAAAGCCACCGTCACACTTATTCGAAATCAGCAGGAATCAAGCAGAACCAACCGGAATGACTAAATTTAAAAATTCGTACTACATTCGAGAAGTAATTTCAAATTGACATAAATTCTTGTAAGAATGTCGTTTAGAATACTCAGAATGTGCTTGAATCGCCTGGAATGATTCGTGCAAATTTCGGCTGTATTAGCTCTCAAATGCAGTTCGAATTTAGTTGAAAAACTAGATATGTCAATAATGCTGTCAGAATGCAGACAAAATATTTAGAATAGGATCGAGATGCATTCGAGTTGCATTCTGGTTCATTCTAACACTATCTAAAGTTCTTGCCTTTCGGTTCTTCCTCGAATGTGATCAGAATGTTTCGAATGCTGTCGGAATGCCGTGAGAATATTTAGAATGCAGTCACAGTATTACCATTCAGATGCCATTCGATCATTTTCCACTTGGAATGCACTTCGAAAGTTTTTAACATGAGCAAAACATTCGGGCCGGCTACAAGAATGGATAAAAATATTTGGAATGCACTCGGAATTTTTAGAATGATCTTCGAATATCCAGGAACACACAAAGAATTGTCTTTCCGGCGGTATTCTTGCTCATTCGGCCTCTAGTGTGCCGGGTAATATGTTAGCTCTGTAATATATTACACGCTTTTAGACCGGATGTGTTTAGCAGTGTGCCCGTTTGACGCCTAATAAGTGTAGGGTGTATTTCTTTAACTTTTAGGTGCTAAGGGTTTCAACTGTTTCAGCCACACACACACACACACACACACACACGAAGTCACTGTCACCTTTAACTACTTTATCTATCTCTACATATAACAGGATACCGTGAACTGTCAACACCGTTAATTTCACTCTACCACAATTACAGCTAGACTTACTCATCCTTCTGTTAGTTGACCTTGAGAATAAGCTTATTGGAATATATTTCCGAAAAAGGATTTAGGAAAATCCCATAGTTCATTAAAGACACAAAACAGCTATCCATTTTACTTTAAAACACCTTTTATCATATTTTGATAAAGTGCGTTACAGAATTGATATCTATTTAATCTTTTCCGGAAGTAATGAACAATAGAACATCAGGATAATAATTATTATTAGTATTAATTATTTAAGCTTGGTCTAAGCTTTCATCACATGCTGATTATTTTGATACCGATAGTCCGAATATTCTACAATCCGCACCGCTCTAGTCGCTGACTAAACCCAAGCCTATTTCGGAATTAACCGCTAACTGTAGTTCAAACAGCATTAGACGTATTTTGGTTATTTATAAAAAAAGGTTTTCAATTTTTTTTTCCAGAATGTTGTAAAAATGCTGATAAAACTCCACAAGATAACGTTATCGTAAAATTTTGTAGAATCGGTCTTCGAATCTTTCTACAAATTATAACAGGTGCGTCTTTTAGACGCCCCTTTACATGCGAAAACGACAAGGCCTATGCCGAGTTCGTCTTTTACTACAGAGCTTTGAGAGCCGAAAATGACATGGCTGTGTCTCTTTCGCCACTTACTGAACTCCACAGATGCGAGATTGACACGACCCATGTCGCGTTCGTCTCTCAAATGACACTGTTATAAAACATGAAATAGGCATAACGTGTGATTTTCGCAGCTGAATAAGTAGACCCTTATAAACGAAGTTGACGTAACTTGAGAGTCATGTCGCTTTCAACTCTTACAAACCTCCAACAAAATCTATCTCCACACAGACGCGCGCGACATGTACTATTGGACATGGGTCAGTTGAAACCCTATTAACCTAAAGGGCTCATGTTACTTTCAGCCAACTCTTATATGTCAAATCCAATTAATTTGAAACAGTGTTGTGCTGTCCCAAAACATTTTTTTCATTTGAATCCCATCACAATTTAGTGCTATCTAGATAACACTGTGGCTAATTGCTTGTAATAATTATATGGCCTCACATCTTTATTTTCAAGGATTCAAATATAAAGGGTTTTAAGACGGTCCTTCTGTTTCAAATTAATTGGCTGAAAGTAACATGAGCCATTTAGGTTAATGTCGCTTTCAACTGACCCATGTCCAATAGTACATGTCGCGCGCGTCTGTGTGGAGATAGATTTTGTTGGAGGTTTGTAAAAGTTGAAAGCGACATGACTCTAAGGTTACGTCAACTTCGTTTATAAGGGTCTACTTATTCAGCTGCGAAAATCACACGCAATGCCTATTTCATGTTTTATAACAGTGTCTTTTGAGAGACAAACGCGACATGGGTCGTGTCAATCTCGCATCTGTGGAGTTCAGTAAGTGGCGAAAGAGACACAGCCATGCCATTTTCGGCTCTCAAAGCTCTGTAGTAAAAGACGAACTCGGCATAGGCCTTGTCGTTTTCGCATGTAAAGGGGCGTCTAAAAGACGCACGCGTAGGCTCCGATGGGCCATGGTAGCTTGAAAATCTAAACGTGTTGTTCAGCAGCTCCGCTTATCATGGGAAGTGCTTAGCCAATATGCTTAGCCTTGGGGTGAACTATTATAGAGTCATATACCGATGAAGCTACACACAAAGCTAAACATGTAACACTGCCAAACGTGCCTAACATTTCCTCTGTCAGAAGCCTGAAAAGCTATACGTGTTAAGCTTTTACACATATTTCTAAATCCGTTTAGGTGTTTAACCTGTGTTGTAGGTGTGTAAATGCTAAACACTATTCTTACAGTATAAAGCAAGGTGAATGGTAACGTCCTTTATTGTTCAGATATTGAACACTAAAAATGGTACATTGTAGAGACCATTGTCTTGTCAAGCGTGTTGTTCGAATACAAATTAATATTTTATCAGGCACACTGTGTATATAAAAATGTTTGTAGATATCAATGTTATGAACTATAAGGAACCATTAAATCAATGGTTTTGGCTTTTCCCTGGCATTATTGATGACAGCTTTTCACGATACTGTTACTTGCCTGGGAAAAACCGTAGTGGTTTTAGACAAATTGGTTATATCATGGGTATATCTTGCAGGTCAAAGATCCTTATAGGAAACTACCATCAGCTTATGCAAGGGGGAAGTACACCAACATAGTCGTCGTAGGGGCAATAGGAACAGGAAAGAGTTCAACCTGTAATATGATGGTAGAAGAAGAAGAACATTTTACAACATCTTTTCGCATGAATCCTACAACCTCTGAAGTATCATCGTACTGTGCCCGCGTGGGTGGCCGCGACTTGCGCCTCATAGATACCCTGGGCCTCTTAGAAACAGCTTCAGATAAAAATTCAGATAGAAAATTAGAAATTCTAAACAAGGTTGCGAATTGCATAAGCTTGCTCGATGGCGAGGAAGGTGTCGATGTGTTCTTGTTTGTCATTCGCTGCGACGAAAAACCAACACAAGCCGAATTAGACGCCATAGTACAGTTAACTACGATATTTTCGGAAACCATTTTTGAATACATGGTTGTTGTAGCTACTCACAAGGACCGACTTAGGAACGCCGAAATGGACGCAAAAAAATTTAAAAGCACTCTCCCTGATAAAATGAAGACGATCCTTCAGAAGGCTGGTGACAGGATGGTTTTCATCAACAGCATCACCCGAGACGGGAGAGAGCGTAGAGATAATATAATAGCTATCATCTCTCACGTTGATGACATTGCAAAAGCTCATTATGGTGAAAAATTCTCCACTAAGGCCATGAAGGTAGCAGCAAAGAAGAGACAAGAACTGAGAAATAAATTTTCTAACGTTAATGATGGTGCTTTACAAAGAATGTTAGAAGAAGAAGTCGAGAATTATATAAAATCACAGTACTGGTGTTTCGACGGCTCTTCCACTGTGCGACTTAGCAATGGGTCAGTCATGCCAATGGTCAAGCTATCTCCCGGTGACAAGGTGCTTTGTGTTAGAGACGATGGTTCCGCCGGCTTCGAGGAAATTTTCTGCTTCGGTCATGCGGATTCCAACTGCCAGGCTATATATGTCCACTTGGAGACCTCAACTGGGCAACGCCTTCTCCTCTCTTACGGTCA